GGTTCTATAAATGTCAATTAAATCCATTAGGTCTAGTGATTCATTTAAGGTCTGCGTTTCCCTGTTGATTTTTTGTCTTGATGATCTGTCCAATGTTGTCAGTGGGGTGTTAAAGTCCCCCACTATGATTGTGTTGCTGTCAATCTTCCTTTTAAAGTCCCCCAATAAATTTTTTATATATTTAGGTGCTCCTGTATTGGGTGCATAAATGTTTATAAGGGTTATTTCCTCCTGTTGGATTGATCCCTTTAGTAACATGCAGTGACCATCTTTGTCTCTTGTCTTTATTTTGAAGTCTGTTTTGTCAGAAATAAGAATTGCTACTCCAGCTTTCTTTTCCTTTCCATTTGCATGGAATATTTTACTCCATCCCTTCACTTTTAGCCTATGTGATTCTTGTTCTCAGGTGAGTCTCTTGTAGACAGCATATATTTGGGTCCTGTTTTCTTATCCATTCAGCTACCCTTTGTCTTTTGATTGGACCATTTATTCCATTTACATTTAAGGTTACTCCTTGTCTCCTTTTAGGAACACATCACAGGTCACTTTTTCTAGACATTTTATGGTAAACAGTACTTAAAGTTAAGCTCCCCAAAGCTTAAGAATGTTGGGACTACATCAGATCTATTCTAATTGTGATGCAGGTGTAAGGAATGAGAAAAATGTGTTTTCTTTTACATGTCACTATGTTTCAACATGTTCACTGCAGTTGTGCATGCTTCTCTGCCCTCTTATAAAGGAATACTACATAAACAGGCAACACCTTTATGCTCTTTGTGTAATTCTATCAAATTACTCTTTTTTTGTTGTTGTTAATCCTCACCTGAGGATGCTTTTTCATTGATTCTTTTTTTTTAGAGAGAGAGTGGAGGAGGAAGAGAGAGGGAGAGAAACATCAATGTGAGAGAGACACATCGATTGGTTGCCTCCTGCACATGCCCCTACTGGGGCTGGGGATCAAACCTGCAACCCAGGTATGTTCCCTTGATGGAGAATTGAACCCACAACCCTTCCATACACAGGCTGATGCTCTAACCAGTGAACTACACTGGCCAGGGATCAAATTACTCTTTGATATGAGTGCCTTGAAGTATAGCTCTCAAGGTTAAAGGAACAAAACCAAATAGACCTTGAGCCTAAAGAAACTGACTACACATTTTAAAGGGAACCAGACTGGTATTATGGATATTTGATGATAATAATTTTACATAGATATACATAATTACTGTTAAGTAACTAATTATATTAGCTTCCATTTCCATTTTGAGTATATATTATGTATTTTGTGTAATGTGCATATTTTCTTTATTACTCATGATAATCTTACTAGGTATTATTATTTTCATTTTATACATGAAGAAATGGAAGCTCAATAAGGTGAATTAATTGTCCAGAGAGAGACAACTAGTAAGTGGCAAAATTGGGCTGCACACCCAGATTTATCTCAATCAAAGGCTTAGCATAGCAATTATAGTCTAATGCCTCTTTTCATCCATGAACTCCAAATTCTGATTTGAGCTTCCTTAAGGGGATCCATTAGGCCCTTAAAGGACTAATGGATGTATTTGTGCAGCCTAATTTTTATGGAGGACTCACAGAACATTGAGAATTCCTCTGTAGCTTTTGAGGGTCCCTGTTTGAGATATGTGGGATGGGATCTCAGTGGTAGCTTGAAAGAACATGGGAGTCACGGTATCTGACTGCTGTCCTGCCTCAGTGATATTGCAGCGGGGAGATCCAAGGCAATAGATAACATCCTTCAGCCCAGTCTCCTCATCTGCAGATGGGAAAATGTTGCCATCTTCCCCTCAATTTTTTGTAAGGATCAGACAAGCCAGGTAAAAAGCAATTTGCGGAATACAGTAGAGTAATTCTTTAAAGGCGATAATAGTGTTATCATTAGACTGCAACAAAGTGAATGAACACAAGTTAATGTTCATATGTATAAAGTTATTAGAATGTGCTAGGCATAATTAGAATATGTTTTCATAATTTTAAAAATATAATTTTACCAATATAAAAGTTGGTGAAAAACAAAACTCATGCAGACTTTGAATAGGGGCCAGGGGAATCAGTTGACAGTTTTATGATTCTAACTATTAAAGAAAGAAGGAGCTCAGAAGAGCATTATCCTTGTGAAATTTAAAAAGTATATATAAGGAGTAATCATGCTGCAAAACAGATAACTCAAAGTCAAGATCATGATATATAAGCAGATTTCCTTCTACAATGAGTGTAGATATACGAAAAAAATGTATTACCTGTTATTCTCCCAAGCTTTCCATACATTTCTGTATACATTTTTTTATGTTTATGACCAATATTAATTAAAATAACTCCTGTTATTTAAAGTTTTTCTCTAAACACCTGTGTTCTTATATAAGACTTTATCCATTGTTGTGACCTTTTAGTTTTTAGACAACAGACGGTCAGAATTGAAGCTTATATTAAATATCAAGCACACAAAACTTGAACTGAATGAAAACTGACCCCAGTTCTCTTTACTGTGGTATAGTTTATGGGGACTTTATTTCAGCTCTGCCTCTTACTGTGTAGTTTGAGCCTGGTTTAGGCCAACTTCAAGCCCATGTTGTTTTTCCTATATCATGATACCATAATAAATGAAAGCATGTTAATATTTATTTTTATAAAAATTTGCTATTATAGCAGGACCTTGTTCTGTGTCCTATTTAACTAATCTTCTTTCTAATCCAAGAATGTTATTGGGTGGGAGCTCATTTTGCAATGAACATTGGGGAATATGGTTCTCTTCTCTTCCTCCTCTTCTCTTTTTTATTCTCCCTCCCTCCTACACACAGTATCGAAAAACAATATTATGGATGAGGAATGGATAAATGATAACTAACTCAAGGGATAAGGTACCTCTGAGTGGACAAGACAGGTGGGATGTGGTCATAGTAGACAATGGCCCCTTCCTTTTTAAATTTAGCTTCACTGGGGACATTATAGCAGTGAGTTACTGCAGTGATTTGAGGCCTTGGCTCATTTATCCATCTGTAATTCTTGATCTGAGATATTTGAACTAGCAGAAAAGGAGATTACTTAGATCTTTGTGTCATTAGGATACATCTCTCAGACATTCTCTTTGTTGGCTGGATTTGGACCTGGACAAAGGATAGCAACTGAAACCTGGGCCATGTTCCAGGGCATCTTAGGTTATACTTGGCTAGAGTTGGTTATTTCCCCTCTCATCACATTTAGCTAGTGACTCTGGGAGCATGTGGATGAGCCACCTAATTGGTATACTTACCAATTACACCCATTGGGGTATCAACTGATACTAGAGAATTATATGATGAAGTCTTATCAGATTCAAGCTGTACGTGTTTTGTTTTGTTTGAACAGAATGAAGTCCCTGAGATGAAGAAAGAGGAGACTTTGTTGGATCTGGACTTTGACCCTTTCAAGCCTGAGGTAGCCTCTGCAGGTTCTGCTGGAGTGACCCACTCACCCATGTCTCAGGTATCAAGTGGTTTTTATGATGTTTGGAGATGATTATTATTATTATTATTATTTTTTGCCAGCAAACATTTCCTAATGTGAAGGAAGGGTAAAATGGGAACCTTATCAATATCAGTTATTCTAAAGTTTCCCCTACCATTAGCTTTCTCTGTCCATAGAGTTGGAATAACCATGCATTCTAGTTTGCCCAGTTTACATTCCCACCAGTAGTGAATGAGGGTTACTTTATCTCCACAACTTCTCAAACTATTGTTACTACCTGTCTTGTTGCTAATGCCATTCTAACTCGTGTGAGGTGGCATCTCATTGTAGTTTTGATTTGCATTTCCCTAATAGCTAGTGAAGTTGAGCACCTTTTCATGTATCTGTTGGCCACTGTACATTCTCTTGGGAAAGGTGTCTCTTCAGGTTCTCTGTCCATTTTTTAATTGAATTGTTTGTTTGTTTGGTGTTGAGTTGCATGTTCTTTATATATTTTGCATATTAACCCCTTGTTGGAGCTCTTGTTTCCAGATATCATCTTTCATTCGTTGGTTGCCTTTTTGTTTTGTTGGCGGTTTCTTTTGCTTTTTAGTTTCATGTATTCCCATTCATTTATTTTTGCCTTTACTTCCCTTGCCTTTGTGGTCAAATTCATAAAATGTTCTCTACTACCAAGGTCTGTAAATTTAGTAACTATGTTTTCCTCTATGCAGTTTATTGTTTCAGATCTCATATTTAGGTCTTTGATCCATTTTGAATTAATTTTTGTACATGGGTACAAACTGTAATCTAGTTTCATTGATTTGCATGTGACTTTTCAATTTTCCCAGCACCATTTGTTGAAGAGGCTTTCTGTTCTCCACTGTTTGTTTTTGGCTCCTTTGTCAAAAATTATTTGCCCACATAGATGTGGTTTTATTTCTGGGCTCTCTGTTCTGTTCCATTGGTCAGTGTGTCTGTTTTTCTGCTAATACCATGCTGTTTTGATTATTGTAGCTCTGTAATATAATATGAAGTCAGGTAGTGTGATATTTCTGAGTTATTTCTTTTTTCTTAGGATTGCTTTGGCTATTCATGGTCTTTTGTGGTTTCATACAAATTTGATGACTTTTTGTTTTATTTCTTTAAAAACTGACGTTGGGATTTTGATGGGGATTGCATTAAATGTGTATATTGCTTTGGATAATATGGCCTAAATTTTAACAATGTTGACTTTTCCTTCCTATGAATACAGAATATCTTTCCATTTCATTGTGTCTTTTTCAATCTTTCTTAATAATGCTTTGTAGTTTTCAGTATATAGGTCTTTCACATTCTTTGTTAAATTTAGTCCTAGGTATTTTACTCTCTTTTTTTGTGTCAATTGCAAAAGGAATTTTTTTCTTCTTCTGTTTTTGAAGTTCCATTGTTAGTATATAGGAAAGCAGTGGATTTTTGTACATTGATTTTGTATCCTGCAACTTTACTGTATTTGTTTATTGTTTCTAATAGTTTTTTGGTGGGATTTTTAGGGTTTTCTATATACAGAATGATGTCATCTGTGAACAGTAACATATTTACTTACCAATTGGGATGCCTTTTATTTCTTTCTCTTGCCTGATTGCTCTGGCTAGGACTTCCAGAACTATGCTGAATAATAGTGGTGAGAGTGCACATCTTTGTTTTTCAAGATTTTAGAGGAAAAGTTTTCAGTTTTTTACCATAGAGTATGATATTGGCTGAGGGTTTGTCAGATATGGCTTTTATTATGTTGCGGTCCTTTCCTTCTGTACCCATTTTATTGAGTGTTTTAATCATAAATGGATGTTGTATCTTAAAAAATGCTTTTCTGCATGTATTGGTAAGATCATATGACTTTATTCTTTGTTTTGTTAATGATGTGTATCACATTGATCAATTTGCATATATTGAACCATACTTGTGCCCCTGGAATGAACCCCACTTGATCATGATGTATTATTTTTCTAATGCATTGTTATATTTCATTTACTAGTATTTTGTTTAGGATTTTTACATTTGTATTCATCAGAAATATTGGTGTGTAGCTTTCTTTTTTCATGTTATCCTTGCCAGGTTTTGATATTAGCTTTATGTTGGCCTCATAAAATGTGTTAGGAAATATTGCCTCTTCTTCAGTTTTTTGGAAGAGTTTGAGAAGGTTGGGTATCAAATCTTCTTTGAAAGTTTGGTAGAATTCACTGGTGAAGCCATCTTGTCCTGGATTTTATTTTTTGGGAGGTTTTTGATGGTTTCAATTTCCTCACTGTTTTTTGGTTTATTTCAATTTTCCAATTCTGCATTTTTCAGTCTAGGAAGGCTATATACTCCTTTGTATATCTGTGATGTCTGTAATAACTTCTCCTCTTTTCATTTCTAATTTTGTTTACATGAGCCTTTTCTCTTTTTTCCTTGATGAGGTTAGCCAGGGGTTTGTCAACTTTATTACTGTTTTCAAAGAACCAGCTCATTGTTGTGTAAAGTTTTTATATAGTCTTTGTGTTCTCTATTTCATTCACTTCTGCTCTGACTTTATTATTTCATTTCTTCTGCTGACTTTGGGTTGCCTTTGTTCTTCTTCTTCTAGTTCTTTAAGATGTGATGTCAGGTTGTTTACTCTTTTTTCTTGAGATAGGCCTGTACTGATATAAACTTCCCTCTTATTACTGCTGTCTCTGTATCTAGAAGTTTTGAAATGTCAAATTGTCATTCTCATTTATCTCTATATATCTTTTGATCTCATATTTTATTTCTTCTTTGGCCCAGTCATTTTTCTGTACTATGTTGCTTAGTCTCCACACATTCGTGGGTTTCTATACTTCCTTTTTGCAGTTGATTTCTAATTTCAAGGCATTGTGATCAGATCATATGCCTGGTATAATTTCAATCTTCTTGAATTTGTTGATGCTAGTTCTGTGACCCAACATATGTTCTATCCTTGAGAATGTTCCATGTGCACTGGAGAAGAATGTATAATCTGATGTTGTGGAATGAAAGGCTCTGTAAATGTCAATTATGTCCACTTGGTCTAGTGTTTCATTTAAGGCCGATATTTCTTTATTGATTTTTTTGTTTGGTTGATCTGTCTAGAGCTATCAATGGAGTATTAAAGTTCCCAACTATGATTATGTTTTTGTCTGTTTCTTTATTTCTGTTAGTAGTTGCTTAATATATTCGGTGCTCCCTGGTTGGGTGCATACATGTTAAGAAGTGTTATGTCTTCTTGATGTGTTGTCCCCTTTATCATTATAAAATGTCCATCTTTGTCACTTTGTTATCTTGAAATCTATTTTTTCAGATATAAGTATGGCTTACACCTGCTTTTCTATGGATGTTATTTCTTGGAGAATCATTTTCCACCCTTTTATTTTGAATCTACCTTTGTCTTTTCAGCTTAGATGTGTCTCCTGAAGGCAGCATATGATTGGGTTTTGTTTTTGTTTTTTAATCCAGTTTGCCATTCTGTGCCTCTTTGTTGATGAATTCAGTCCATTTAGATTTAGAATAATTGATCTTTGAGGATTGCATATAGTCACTTTATCTTTGGTTTCTGGTAGCTCTGTGCCTTTGTTGGTTCTTTTCCTTTGTGTTTCTGTCTGTTGTTTTTGTTTGGTGATATTCCATACTTCTTTCCTCTGTTTCTTCTTTTTTTAAGCTGTATGTCTCAGTTTTGAGTCTTTTGTGTGTGGTTACCATTAAGTTTATGAAAAATAAAGTTTCATATATACAGTAGTCCTTTTTCTTTTGAATACATTTGCTCTCCACCCTCCTTTGCAAATTAAGACCTTTACCCTCTTCCCTTTTATGTTTCTGTTGTTGCAAATTAGCCCTATTTATGCTATAAGTTTGTTGGTGATTGTACTCATAGTTTTGTAACCTTTTATTCTTTGTTTCAGATATAATAACCCTTGAGTATTTCCTGCAGTGGAGTTCTTCTGGTGATAAAGTCCCTCAGCTTCTGTATGTCTGGAAAAGTCTTTATTTCTCCTTCATATTTAAAGGATATCTTTGCTGGATATATTATTCTTTTCTGTTAATTTCTCTCTTTCAGTAATTTGAATATTTGGTTCCACTGTCCTTTGGCTTATAGAGTTTCTGCTGAGAAGTTTGATGATAATCTAATGAACTTTCCTTTATAGGTTATCTTTTTTCCCCTAGCTGCCTTGAGAATTCTTTGTGTGTCAATAATTTTTGATAGTTTTAATGCAATGTGTTTTGGAGAAGGCCTCTTTGAATTGAGGTAACCAGGTATTCTATTTGCTTCTTGGATTCAAGGATCTAGCTCTTTTCATAAGTTTGGGAAATTATCATCAACTATTTGTTTGAATAGGTTCTCCATTCTATTCTCCTTCTCTTCTTCTTCTGGTATAGCTATTATTCTTATATTACTCTTTCTGATGGATTCAGATAGTTCTCAGGTGTGTGTTTTTTTGTAGTTTTGTGACCTTCTTTCATATTTTTATGCTCAAGTCTCTGTCTTCTTCCCCTTGCATCATTTCTAGATTTCTATTCTCAGCATCACTAATTCTTTCCTCCATCCAGTTAGCTCTATTTCCTGTCCTCACTAGTTCATTCTTGATCTCTTTTACTGAGATCTTCATCTGCAGAATTTCTGTTTGGTGCTTTTTTAAAGTTTCAGTCTCTTTGGTAAAGTACTTGTTTTCTTTGCTGGTTTGTTTTCTGAGTGCACTAAATTGCTGTCTGTATTTTCTTGTGTCTCGTTGAGTATTTTCAGAACTGTGAGCTTGAATTCTCTGTCATTTATGTAACATATTTCCATGTCTTTAAGTATGTTTTGGGAGACTTATTTTCTTTCTGAGATGCCTCCCTACCTTGATTATTCATGGTATTTGATGAATTCCTTCTCTGTCTAGGAATCTATGTATGAGTGGCACTTATTTAGCAGATTAATAAGAAGAGGTCTTTATATTTTTTTCCAGTAGTAGACACTGAATCACAAGTTTTCTAGCTATGTAAAATCCCAGTGCATCCCTGCAGTGTGGCTGCCATCAGTGTAGCTGTAATGTGTGAGTGTGGGGTAGGCTGGGATAACAGTCCAGTTTCTTTGTTTTGCTCTCTCCGTAATGGTGGCCTCAGACATCTGTTGGGTCTCCCTTGTGCCTCAGCTCTGGAACCTGTCACAGAGTACATTCTTTCCTAAGGAAAAAATGTGATTCTGTAGTACCAGTTCTCAGGTTTGCAGATAATGTACTCTACAACCTGACACCAAGGGCAAAGAGAGGTGCGCTGTGGGAAATTAAGGGGCAGCAGGGCTCTGTGGCTTTGTTTCTCTGTCTGGAATTCCAGCCACTCAACAACCATGGCCGCACCTCTGTGCTGTGTCCTGGCTCTGGTTTCTGGGCTCAGCCGCAGCTCATGCTGCTCACTCTTACTGTAATGCCCACCAAATCTCCTTGCTCCTCCCAGCTGAAGGGAGCCCCAGCCACAAAGGGATTCCTCCCCTCCCCTGGCTGAGCCCTGCTGTGAGCTCCTGGCTACAGGGCTGTGTCATGCATCATCTTAGCCCTTCTCCCTTCTTACCTCCCCCATTTTTCCCCACTTGCCCACCTCTAGGTGTTTCAATGCGCAGATCTCTCAGCATGTTTGTGGATTGAGCCAGGAATCCTTTGTTGCATTATTGCTGTTCAAATTGTTGAAACTTCATAGGAAAAGACCAAGGGGATATCTCATGCAGCCATTGTTCTGACAGCACCTTGATTATGTATTTATGCAGAGTTGGTCTTGCTTATCCAAACCTTTCCTTGCTCATCACTTCCTCACTCTCAATATTGTCCCCATTTCAGTAGTTATTATGATAGCATTCTCCATCAGAGGGATACTGGTGTTGGGTACTACAATGATCTGTGGATGATTCCTCTGTAATATATTTAATTTACAATTGTCTATATTCATAAAAGAAGTTAACTCAAAATTTGATTGAACAGAAATTGTTTATATTAGTATTTGTGATATGGTCCAAGCCTCACATTTCAATCTGAGCAAATCCAAAGATGCTAGAATATACTTCAAATGAATTAATGATGGTTTATTATAAAACTCAGGAATTGAGACCCAGTTCAACTTTCTGGTCTTGAAGCTTTCTCAATACCTTACTGTAAGCCGCTGGAGAACAGACTGCTCCGTATGAACCTCAATAAATAAAGCTTCTCTTTAGTTCAGACTTTTGCAGATGATTGGGTTTCTAAGGGCCTTCCTGTTGTAATATAAGAACAATAAATATCTGAGATGTCAATAAATCAGGAAAGTAAGTAGATCAGACACTGGCCTTAAAGGCATTTTGCAAAAAGTTGGTCTCTTAATGTTTCAGAGATTTCTGTTAACTCCCTTTTAGGGGATTCATGATATGCATGAGAATATTAAAAGCTCAAAAAAATCCTGTAATTAAAAGAAAAACCTGTTTAGATTTGTTTAACTTTGAGTTTCCCAAATATGTTTGACCAAGAAATCAACTTTGATGAAACTTTCTTAACATTCATTGGTATGTTCTCTAAAACATACTTTGGGAAGTGCTAACGTATTAATTGTCAGTAAGTTTGATGGTTCTGCCTTGGTGGCCAAGAAAAGCAGAAAATGGATGTATATATCATTCAGAATATTTCCTTCTCAGAGTTCTTGTTGTGTATATAGCCAGCAGAAGTTATGGACTTCCTCTGCCTTACTCTCCAAAGTTCATTACTTTAGTGGCAGAAGGAAAAGTCCTACAGTGGATGCTCTGGTGATTAGAGGGTGAGATCCCACAGCATTTCTGTATGCAAGTTTGAATCAAGAGAGAAACCTCTTTTATATCAATTCATGGTTATATTAATCCAAGTGTGGATTTAGGACTAAGATTATTCCGAATTTTTTTTAAAAGTTACCTTGGTTAAATCTTTAAAAGTCTTGGTTCTGAAGAAAAAGCATTACCGTAGCTAGGAAAGTTGTGTGTGCCACTATTCTTTTTTGGGCCAGGTGATATACTGCTCTGGCTTCTTAGTGGCCATAATTGAGTCACCGCTCTGCAGAGTTGCCCTGCAGTCCAGCTCTAATCACATCTTTCCTCCTTTGCTAAGAAGTCTTAGGCTGAGATGAGCTGGTTGATTTTGCTGGCCTTTCCCCTTCACTCAAAGTGATCTCCCTTACCCATCACCTGATCCCATGTTTGAAATTGATATTCTTGCTGCTAGCAGAACCCCTCACCATGTGATCTCTGCTGTGTACACACAAGCTAACACATCCTTTCATGATCCTGGAGCTTGATAAACATGACATTTCACATTGCTGCCATCCTTTGGAAAAAATACTGCTGCTGTCTGCATTATTCAGGGATATGTAGTGATTCTCAAAGGGCTATAAAACAAGAAAACATAAACCACCTGGATAATCAGAAAATGCATATTAAATGCAAATGAACCCATGTACGAATGCCTGTGGTTTTCAGTGGAGCTGTTCTACTCTCCCTCTTAGTCATTCTGCAAGTAGATGCTAATCCAGAGACCAGCCAGGTTGCACAGAGATGCAGGGCGGGTGGGGCGGTGCAGGTAGACAGACCCAGACCAAGCGGGTGGGTTCAGTGAGAACCACGGGGCCCATGTTCTGTAGTGCAGAATCCAAATGAGACATCTGTAGTCCCATCTGGAAACTGTCATATTCTTAAGATGGGAGTGCCAGATTCTCTAACTTGCTGTTTGCATTTAGTGATTCAAAACAAGTACATAAACATGGATTAGTTCTAGTCACAAAGACATGGGCAGAAAAGGCTGTGGCTCAACAGTAATTCTCAATCACAGAGGACATAAGAAAAAGAGGTCTCCCTCGCTTTCCCCGTACACAGGGCAAGTCATTTTTGAGCCAGATGGATTCATTCCCCAGGATCAGTAATTTTTATAATTAAAATTCCAGTAGTAAGCATAACTCATCTATATGTCTTAGGGGACACCTTACTAATTTTCATGATTACCAATTAATTAAGCTGTGTGTTATCTAATTCTACATATTGAAGAACTATTTTTCTGGGGTTTATTCACTATCAAACGGGTGCATCCTCTTCGATTTGGTGTGGGGAAGAGAGGAAATAGCATTAACAATTATTAGGATCTGCACATTTCCTCAAAGACGTGATAAACTGATATCTGGACACCATGTTTACTTCATATAATTATGTGTGTTTATTAAAGTAAACCCATTCATCATGTTTCAGATATTGTTTTCTACTTATATAGCAAAAGGCACATTGATTAGACCTGTGCTGTTCAATATGGTAGCACTAGCCACATTTAGCTATTTAGTTTAAATAAAATAAAATTGTGTAAAATAAAATATTTGGTTCTGTTACACTCGCACATTTCAAGTTCTCAATAGCCACATGTGCTACCATATTGTACAGCAAAGATAGGGAGCATTTTTATCACCAAAGAAAGTTCTGTTGAACAGTGCTGTATTAAATGTTTCAAAATGTTTATTATTTTATTTCGGTAACTTTTATCATCTCAGTAATTTTTACATGCTTGGGATTTGTATGCTAACAGTATTTCTGTCTGTTTGCTTTCAGACATTGCCCTGGGATTTATGGACGGTAAGAGTATTAAGAGCTCTATATTTTTATGTATCTCTGTCCCTAGAAATTTAGAAACTTTGTTATGTTTTATTTCATTTGTAATGGAAAGGAAGCCCAAACATTTTTAATAATAATGTTGTCTCCTGGAATAATCATCAGCTCCATCATGGTTCCCAGTATTACCAGCATTTGGAAATAATGATGAAAAGAGTGTGTGCCAGACTCCTGGATGAACAAGAATTTGATGTGTCCCTTTACGCTTCTTCCTGTGATTATTGGTGGCTAGAAGAAGTGTTGTAGTGAAGAATATGCACATTTATTGTTGCTTATAGAATACAAGAAAGGTGTAAATGGGAAAATGTAAGGGTTTGGCTACTCTGCACATGGAATAGTTTTTTTTTCATTTTTATTTTCAATGAAGCTTAATCAATAAGAATTTGAGCTTTAGAACCAGACAGCCCTGGATTGGAGTCCAGACTCTACTTCTATAGCAACATGACTTTGAGCAATTTCTAAAAGTCTTTCAGCCTCAGGTTCTCTCATCTGTAAAATAAGGGTAATGATACTGACTGCAGAGGGTTATGTGAGGATTAAGTGAGATACTATTTGTAGAATGTTTAGCCGTGTCTGGTGCGTATCAATAAAAGGGAGAACTGCAAGGATGAATGCCTCCAGAATTCAGAGTTGGGAAAAAGACACAAACAGAGCTTTGTGGTGACAGCATCTGTGGTATGAAATTAGAAGACTGACTACGCCTGTATAGAGCCTCACATCCCTTGGGATAGAGCCTTTTTCCACCCTGTCTTAGAACAACCCTGGTCGTCATTTGGTCTTAAGAACTCAACTTAAGATTCATGTTCTCTTTTTTTAGTGATACAGCAATAGGAAAGTTGGAAGATCTAGCTATCCATGAGCCTGTGGTCTTCCAAAGTGGCATTGCTACTTTCTCCTCTTAAAACAAAACATGACTGTCCCCTTCCCTGCCACAGTTGCAGGGTTATATTCTACTACATAAGATTCTTGAAGCATCATGGAAAACTCTTAAGACAAGAGCTAAAAAAAGTTTGACTTGTATATTCTCAAAAAGGGATACATGGATTGGTGTTTAGGACATTTGAATTCTAGCTTCAACTTTGTGTTAATTTTCTAGGAGAGTAAGAGGAAAATGCTGTTTTTTGTTATTCCAATATTTCATATCTTTAGTTGAAGCTATACCACATTTTTCTTTCTCTGGCTGAAAAGGATATGATGAGGGTGAAAGTATCATCTATAAGGAACATTGACTATTTTAGAGGACAAACCTGCTAGGAATGGTAAGAGTGACAAGATTGCAAAACAATAGCTCCCTGGTTATAATTACTCCATTTCTTGATCCCCTCAGCTCCCCAGTGTTGTTTCTTTGTGTCCAGACAAAGCTCCTAAGATGTGGGGAGAACCTGAGGAGAATCATCCAGGTAGTCAGAGTGGTTAGTATCAGATCATCCTCCATCCAAAAACCACCTCAAAGGCAGAACCAAGTGCAGGCTGGTTGGGGAAGATTTTACTTTGATATTGTGTCAGAGCAGATGGTACTGGGTAATTTTATGACTGCTAGTGCCAGATGCTATTCTTGTGTTCTCGTGCTTGGTTATTTATTTCATTTGCCACTTTGCATTTCAGAGTCGGCTACAGCAACAGTCATGTAATAGCCATAAAACATTGTTGTTGATACTAGGAAATGTCAGAGGCTTTCTTTATGTTTCAGTTGTATAATCTTAACAGTATTAGGACAGAACTCATTCCTATCACAAAATAAGTTGTAAAATTTAGTCTCAGACCAGTGAAAACCACAACCTTTAGCAGAATATTGACTCTGGAAAGCATGGATTTTAATATGTGAGCAAATTTTTTTCTCTCTGACTTTTATTATTATTTTTTTTACTTATACAGACAAGCACTGATTTGGTACAGCCGGTAGGTAAATGTCCAGAAAATTCTGGATTTTTTTTGTATTTAATATGCATTATATACATGGTATATTATCTAAAATTAGCTTTTTTTCCCCCTCATGGCATTGCTACTCACAGATTTAACCTTAAGCCACTTATTTACTTTAATACTCTCTAGTTTTGTTTAATGGTGCTACCCTATGGAAGAACTTAGTGTTTCTTGTCAACTCCTACCGTGACCTGTTTCATCTTGTTTTTGTTTTGTTTTTTCCCTTTGCTGTTCTGCATACTCTAAAGTCTGACTCTTCAGAAAGTCTTTCCCTGTGTAACTGGATCATGGAGGAAACTCCAGACAATGGGTTGGCTGAAGAAATTCAAAGATCTCAGATTGATTTAGGTGCATTTATTTGGGGCCCTGATGCTAGTGCAGAGAGTGTCAGCCAGAAAACTATCCACACTGGGTCTCAGGAAGACTCTGCATGTCTCTCTGAAGCAGAGCAAGACATGGGATTATCCACCAGGATGTTTCCTTCTGCTGACTGGCACACTGTAGTCGAACAGGGTGAGCATGTCCCAGGGCCAGCCCCTCCATGTGGAAATGGACAACTGCCCCCAAAGCCTGTGCCTGAGGCTGAATTTGCCATTGCTGCTTGTATGGAGACGGAGCAGCCTTATGACTTACCTGACTTAGAGATGCCAGCCATGGAAACTGGTGTCCTGGTCAAAAAAAGTCAAGAAGATGTTAAAAAATCAGAAGAAGAGGAAGAAAAACAGAAGATAGAAGACTCTGTGTGGGCAGGTGTGGAGACATGTGGAAAGGTAGATACTGGGGCTATTGATACTAAGACACTAGAAGGTACAGAGGAATTTGAAGAGAAAGCATGTGAAAGCACAGGAAACAGGTGGTAGATCTTCTTAAAACACTAGGAAAGCAAGACCAGGAGACCTTAAAAATCAGTGAAGAGGAAACTAGGAAAGATCTAAGAGTTAGGTGTAAGGAAATGGTAAAGACCAATGAAAATAATTTTGTGAAACTTAATATATCAGAAAAAGACATGGCAACTGAATTTATTGACAAAGTGCTAGATGAGGAGATTATTTATTTACAATAATAAATAATTGTAAAATTATAGAGGGCTGTGGAGCTAAACCTGGCCATTACACAGATATTTTGAATCTGCCTCTCCAGACTGACTCTGTACCTAATATTGAAGACGCCAGCCCTGAGGGATGGGGTTTATCTAGAAAAGATATAAAGAAAAATTTAATAGACCTTTCTAACAATGATATAATATATCATTCAGCACAGATGAGTACAAATGCTGAAGAGATTCAATGTGAGCCTGTGTTACATGTGCCTGGATGTGACAGAGATGAAAACCAGGCTGTTTTTGATCAATGAAACATGAAGTGGTAGCTCAGTCTAGACAGATCTTAATTATGCTCTGGAGACTAATGCAAACAGAAGAGACTGGTATTTGTGTAAGGCAGAAGATTCATTAATAGAGGGGCCTGAAAATACAGTGGCTGATAACTGTAGTCATACCATTAACTTGCCAAGAATTACAAAAACAGACTCTTGGGGAACAGATCCAGGTCAAATCTTGCAGCCAGGTTTGGGTTCAGCAATGAATAATATGGACATATTGGAATTCTCTGCTATACCAGATGGCCAAGCAAGTAGATTTGCCAGTTGTCTTGATTTTATTAACCACTGGTTTATCAGTGATATGGGAGACATAGATAATTTCTGGGAACATTTAGATATAGTTGAGAGCAAGAAAGGGCTGGAGGTGGACTTCCTGGCAGATGTATGTGAGGAACATGCCATTGATAGCTGCTGGGAACAAAGCCAAGAGACAGTTAGACCTTTGGTTTTGGGAACCTCCCAGAATGTTAACACCCAGAGTTCGGCTAGTCCCCAAGACAATGGCACCAACAACTCAGATTTATCTGAAGATGAAGTTGCTAATCAGAGATATAGATTGTTGTACCAACAAATAGAGGCTGATAACGAAGAGGTACTTACCCAGTATGTAGTGTAGACTAGACAAAGACTTCTGTAGGTTCTGTTTTTCCTAATGTTTCCCACCCCTTTCATTATCTATCACTACCTCCTCTGAGGCCTGCCTCATCTCCTTGACAGATTGTCAAGGAGAGGTGCATAAATGACTATGCACCTCTTACCTCTTGAAATCTCTGTAAACCAAACACAAATAGGTTGACCAAAAAAAAAAAAAAAAGCAGAATGATTGTTGGAATTAATGAAAGTCTATTTTACTATTCATTTACTCTTTATTTTTCCTACTTTTATTTTTACTGTTCAAGTATTAAACATATGTAGAACATACCAATTTACTGTTTCTAAGTGGTTACCCCAATAAGAACACATGAAATGTTCTATCCAGGCCTACTAAAACTGTAGAATCTCATAATAGGTGTCATAAAAAAATCTGACAAAATGATACATTAGAAAAATACTAGATATTCTTCTAGCTTCTTTTAGATTCTGTCAATAGCCTGAGAAAAAGAGCTATTTAAGCCTCATGGCTTTTCTCTGGAACCATCTTCTCATTATTAAGAAAGTGGGTTTTGGTTAGCATGGAACCACATACCAGGAGTGACTGTAAAAATAATCTTTCTTTTTTTTTTTTTTTGTCAGCCTATTTGAAATAATACAGTACAACCTTTTTACATTTCCTAAGCACTTTCACTGCTTGTATTATTTTAAAATTTATGGTGGTCTTTACTTAATGGGCATTCACTGATCCTACAAAATGGATGAAAAATAATGTGCTCTGATTTTCATTTCTGTTTAGGCTTCAGATGGTTCATTTAATGGATTCACTCAGGTAAGAAAATCGGCTTGCTGGCAAAATACATCCGTTGAGAATGATGCAAATTTTTAAAATAAAGACCTCTGTGTCCCCGGTAAGGTATAATGATTGTGTCAGCACAAAACTCCACTACTTACAAATTCAGTAATGGAAACAGTAGTATTATCAACATTGTAAGGTTATTGTGACTATTAAATGAGATATGTCCAGCAGCCTAGCACATACTGAGTCCTCCATGACTGTAGTTAGCTATTGTTAATATTATTAGCTATACTGTGGGCATCTGCCTTCTACTGATTCCTGTACTGAAAACTAGGAGTTGCCCTGATCTGAGAGATTCACTAGATTCAGTTGTTTGGAAAAACGAGATAGGATTGTTTTGAACTAAAAATTGTTTTGTAATGAAAATGGTCTTTAGAAAATATGATACGTTTTAGGAGCCTTTTTGCAAAGATTCATGTAAGATATAGTACCATCCTCTTCAGTGGTTCTCCAGAAAGGAGCCAGTGGAAGATCAGAAATCATAGCTTGGCTCTCTAAGGTAGTACTTTCCTTGCAAATCTGAAGAAGAGGAACCACTAGATGGACGGTCCCATTCACTATATATGTCCCAAACAGATGGACAGCTGTAACCCACATAAAAGGCATACCACATGGCTATCGAGCTCGTGGGAGTCCCCCTTTTGAAGGGAGACTTCAAACAGAAGCTTGTCTGTGATTAATGCTTTGTCTCAGAATAGTAGACATGACAATTTCAAATTTTAATATTTAGAATGTCTTGATTTTAAAGTTTGATTATTTTCTCCCATGTTACCTATAAAAAGGTAAAACCCACTCACATGCCCACACCCAAATACAGCTACAGACAAACACAAAGAGAGATGATAGTGCATCTCTTCCATCTGCATAAAACTCATGAAAGTTCGTCATAATTATTGTTCATCTCTCATTTTTAAAATTTTTATCAGTTGTAACTGCACATAATTTAAAGAGTGTGAAATTTTATAAGGGTTTTTTATTTTAAAAATTCTGATCCTCATATTCCCCTTCCATTTTCTGTTTCTCAGAGGTAAATAGTTTCACATTTTTTTAACAGATTCTCTGCTCTCCCATCCCCCCCGCCATATGGGTGCATGAGTTTCTTATAATGCTTCTTTTTTATTTCTAAAGCATTATCTATTGACTTACCTCTCTGGAAAGTGAGGACTTAAAACACTTTCATCCTCCTGCCTCCACAGTTCACCCTCTCCCGTTTCATGCCCTCCTGATATAGTTCTGCCATAGCCATCCAGACAATATGTGCTAATATTATAAAAATTATATAAATGCACTTAGTGCCCAGGTCATGAATTTTTCATTTTCATTATGCCAACATTTTTTTTCTTTGAGGAAACGATTGTAGGGTCCTATGTCTTTGTTAGTGGTTGGTTTGCTTAGTTTTCTAGGTACTTATCACTAATTGAAACCCATACTCTATAGTTATATAAATCTCCCCTCATTTTGTTAGAAAACACTAAGTATTCAATCAATTTCATCTTCATAAAGAATTTGTTTTTCTGGACTGCTTCAATCTAAACTGGGGACTCTGGCTACCACACAGCTGGTACCACAGGCTCTCCCATTAGGTCTGTCCTCAGGATTACCCTCACCTCTCTCTTATGTCAATCTGTTCTTTTCTGGACGTAAATCTTCCTCATTTATGGTTTAATCCCATAGATTAAAATACATTCTCCCCCACAAATTAAAGCATATCCTCCAGTGGCTTTCTGAGAAAAGCCTGCATGAGGTATATGTCTCTGATATTATACATCTGAAAATATCTTTATATACATAATGGACTCTTACTTTGGATATTATAAGTTGTAAGTTGTTTCCCTTAGAATTTTGAAGCCATTTTTCCACTCAATTTTACCTCCTGGTGTTGCACTGAGAAACTGTCATTTTGATTCTTGATTTTTTGTGAGAAACTTGTTTTCTCCCTCTCTCTCTTTGTCCTTTATGCACCCCTCCCATTCTCTTTCTCCCTGGAAGTTTGTAAAATTTTCATTTCCCCTAGTGCTTCTGAAATTTTATAGTGATGCACTATGGTTTGTCATACATTATCCTAGGCCCTTTAGTCTAAAAATGGATGTCTTTTAGTTTGGGGGAATTTTTTTCTAAATTTCACTTATGATTTTCTTTTTCGTTTTCTTTGTTCTCTCATCCTATAACACCTTTCTTTCTCATGTGTTGGCTTTTAATGATTTTTTTAAAAATTTTATTTTTCTTTTAAATATTATAGATCTCCCTTTTCTCCCCAATGACCCGTTCTCCCCCATTCCTTCCCCCTCCCCAGTCCCTCTCCCCACCATTGTCGGTGTCCTTGGGTTGTGCATATATGCATATAAATTCTTTGGTTACTCTCTCCCCCTCCACCCACCCGCCCTCCTCCATTCCTCTGACATTTATCAGTCTCATCTATGCTTGCATGTCATTGAATCTATTCTGCTCATCAGTTTATTAAGTTCTTTAGACTCCACGTATAAGTGAGATCATGTAATGTTTGTCTTTCTCTGCCTGGCTTATTTCACTTAGCATAATATTCTCCAGGTCCATCCATACTGTCCCAAAGGGTACGAGATTCTTCTTCTTTACAGCTGTGTAGTATTCCATGGTGTAAATGTCCCACAGCTTTTTAATCCACTCATCTACTGATGAGCACTTGGGCTGTTTCCAGATTTTATCTATCGTAAACTGTGCTGCTATGAACATAGGGGTGCAT